CCACTCGAATCTGCCTCCCGGGCATGTTTGCACATGGCAAGGTGCATAGGGTGGTAGTCAACTATGTTTTACTCAGAGTAAACCCGCTGAAATGAACAAAGTGCATGAAATACCCCTGGTATCTGGTCCCTGAGAAGCTGACCCTCAGACAACTGAAAGAAAGTTCCCTGCCTAAATTCATGCAGAGGCAAATCTGTTATGGAATTTAACAAACCTTAACCTTCAGGAGCCCTATCCCGGGGGGGTGGGGTGTATCCCATAGATCAAACTTCAGTCCTCCTTGTTAAAAAAAAAACGGGTCTAATAGACTAGATTACAGTTGCACAACTCAATTTGACTACTGTGTGTGTGTGTATTTTCAACAATCCCAAAGTTTGAGAGTGGGTAGCATAGATGTTGTAAAGGTGGACTGTCTCGGTAAGTTGGCTGTTCTGCTGAAGAGCACTTAACTTGATGCCTCTAGAAAAGGGCTTTGCAAGGAAGCTCTCACACAATGAAACTGTACATGAATAGGCTGCTAGAAAAAACAGAAAAAGAGTATTTTGTAAAATGTGCTCCATGTAATATGAGATAATTCCGTTCAGCAGTTTTAATCAAAATCTGAGATGTACTAGTTACATTAAAAAAAGAAAATTCTGGTAGAACAGCCCCACTGAAGGAAATAAGAGTGGTTACCCAAACCTCACTGTTGGTTTGCGAAGGGGCCCCCATGAAAATTCAAGGTTCAGGGCCACAAAAATGTAGGTGGCCTTTTCTTGAATTTCCTAGAAGCTGACTGATGCTGGAAATTGAACTCTGGACTATATAGATTTCTGCACTGGTCTGACAAGGCAGTTGTGATGTTTTTAGAATTGTTTGTGCTGATTTAGAGGAGGTGGACGGGTTGTTCTGTGCTTGACTCCCCGTGTTCCCTGTTGGGTGATGTCCCGCCCCCGCCCCCAAACACCTAGATTTGCTTGTGACTGCATGATTTCTCCTGCACCCATGAGCAGGCGACTCCAAGCAAGCACTGTGGGGCGTGAGACTGCTTGCATGTGAAAGACGTATGAGGCTGAGCTAGACAGCTCGTGCTTCTAGATCAGGGCTGTCTACACTTCCAGCAGCTCTCCACAGTTTCACGCAGGAGTGTTTCATTAGGGACTAATCTAGGAACCTTCCACATGACAAACACTGCGCCCTTCCCCAAAGGACTGCAAATATCAAAAGTGGCCTTATGATTGAACCACTGTTGATCCGTCTAGTTCAACCAGTGTTAGAAACTCAGATGTATAAACTAGGCACCAAACGGCTTCTTAAACCAAGGCTATACTTGCCAAAACGGAATTTCTAGTTGCCATTTTTGGACCAGGAACGACTGACTTATCAGTTAAACATCTAGCTAGGTTAAGAGTTTTGAGAACTTAAAGGAAGAAAAATCACTTGATCCAGGGACAGCCCACCTATATATTGGCCTCTTTTTCTTAATGGTGACACGGGCCATTCATAACGTAGGAATATTCTTCACAGCCGTGAGCAGGGCAGCCAGGTGGGGTAAGTGAAGAGAAGCAACAACAACAACAAACAACAACAATTTATTATTTATACCCCACCCATCTGGCTGGGTTTCCCCAGCCACTCTGGGCGGCTTCCAACAAAAGATTAAAAATACATTAAAACATAAATCATTAAAAACTTCCCTAAACCAGGGCTGCCTTCAGATGTCTTCTAAACGTCAGACAGTTGTTTATTTCTTTCACATCTGATGGGAGGGCGTTCCACCGGGCAGGCGCCAATACCGGGAAGGAGAACGTTGTTCACTGCTCCTGCTCAGGCTGCACAGAAAAAGCATTTTGGTTTCTGAAATTCGTTCTGCGTGTGCAGATAAAATATAACGGATAGAATTCTACAGGATGGGGTGTTAGTGTATGCAAACAGTCCAGACCCAAGGATCCCCAGGCATGGACCTCCAGATGGTGGAGATGTCAGGCACCATCCTGGCACCCAGGCATCTTCACTTGGTCACAAGTGGCCAAGAGGTGCATAATGCGCCTGGCTAATTTCAAACGCTGTTGTCTACACCAGGGGAAACCAATGCTGTGCCCTCCATATCCTATTGAATTATGACATCTCTGGTCATCAGATAATGGGAGATTTGACCCAGAACATCTCTGGGGTGCCCTATTGGCTACAGCAGCAGCTCAATGGGGTCTCAGGGTGAAGACTTTCCCTGTTGTACTTGGAGGTATCAGGGAATGGACATGTGATTGAGCCTGTGCTCTCCCACTGAGCTGTGATTCGTCACATGATCACTGGCCACAGATGCGGCTCATGGTCTCTAACATTTCAACGGGTGAAAGCTTACGGTGCTGTGACCAACGGCTGTCCTGTTATTCTCAAACCCCCAAACCACCGGCTGATTTAGCCATCTCCACTGTTTTCAAATTATTCTTATTAATTTGCTGTACCTGCCCTTCACCCTAAGCTTTCGGGGCAGGTTACAACATTAAAACACAATGTTAAATGCAGTTTAACGCAACTTAACAGTCACAAAATAAGCGGGTCCTAAAAATACACACCTCAAGTGTCAAAAGCTGCAATTACTATCATTGTACTTCCTTCCTTGCTCTCTTTCTCTTTCTCTCTCTCTGTGTGTGTGTTGGTGTTGTGGTTTTGTCTGCAATATCCTGGCCTGCAGTGGCTTTCTGAAGGGGAGGCCGGCTTAGTAAACTGACCACAGTAGTTTAGTTTTAAATGACTTGGGGGCGTTTAATCTCTCCTGGGATCTGGTTTTGCTTATTATAGAGTAGCTGAAACTCAAAAGCATTTAGAAGGTGGTTATTGCCAGGGGTGGGCGGGTGGGTGGGAGAAGCGTTGATGAACGGGTGGTTTATCAGTCATTAAATGCATGCGAGTTTGTCACTATAGTAACTTTATAGAAAACTTCAACTCAGGATTTCAGAATTGCGCTTTGCAGTGCAAGCAAGTCAATGCATACATTAAGGAAACAGGAATTTTCTGTGCTGCACATTTCATACCAAAGAACAGCCACGTTTAACACAGTTGGGGGTCGCATCCCTGCAGGCAGAGCCTTAAGCAAGGGGGGGGGCAGTCTTGGAGATTTGTAAGTTGTTGGGAAATTTTATTTTACTTTAAGAGACAGCCTGCCCATTGTACAGGATGAGCCTCCGTGTTTTCGACTGCAGAATATCAGATTGCAGAGTAGGTGTCTTTTGTTTCGTTCTGTAAATGTCACCCACACCAGAATCTCCCTCCGCACGCTTTAAACTTGCAAGTGGGAGAGGAAAATTCACTAACCCTTTCTCTCCGCACTGTGGGTTTATTTCATAAAAATTATACATCACTTGATTGTAAAAACGAAACCCAGACAATCTTCAAAGCAGTTAAGAAAAGGGTATTAAAATCAAGAAAAACTCAGGCGTATTTTAAAACATGGAAAAGTTTTTAAATACTAAAGCAGATTAAAATTACTTCTGCTTTCCAAACATCTGTAGGTTTGCCTAAACTAGGGCCGCTGTATGTCCCAACATTACCGGGATTTCAAAGGTGAAATTTATGTCTGGGGAGGGGGGAGAGATTTGTCCTGGATATTAGACAAGTCAATAGAAAAATCCTGGGTTTTTTGGTGGTTTTGTAAAAAAAAAGAAGCTGAACGAATTTGAAGTTTTCCTTAAAAAAAAGAAAGCAGTAGCAGCTCAACAATTTTTGGGGTTTCCTTTAAAAAAAGCTCAATCATTTTGGGGTCTTCCTAAGCTCAATTTTTTGGGAGGTGTCCTGGTTTTTCCTTTTTGAAATATGGCAAATTCAAAGCAGATTAATTCGAAACATCTGGGTAGGCTTGCCTAAACAAGAATGCTTTTAGCCGGCACCGGAAAGAGTACAGTGAAGGCACATGCTTGATCTCAATAGGCAGGGACTTCCAAAGCGGTGCACACTAAACGACCAACTTCTTACAAGTGCGGAATGAGTGACTATTACGTGGCACTTGCAGGAAGTGTGCAATCTGCAGGAAGCTTCCGCCCCCCCCCTTTAATTTTTTTAAGTGAGGGAGCAAGATAAACCCTTTTCGACTTCCTAATTCTGTTCAACCTGAGCCTTTCCAATCAGATGCAGCAGAATGACATGGCAGAATTCTGAGATGGTGGAAGAGACTGATACGATAGCCGTCTTCAAATATCTCAAGGGCTGTCACATGGAAGAGGGGAGCATGCTTGTTTTTTCCTGCTGCGGAGCGTAGGACTCGAACCAAGAAAGGAAAATCTGGCTAAACTTTCTGACAATGATATCTGTTCGGCAGTGGAACAGACTCCCATCGGAGGTTGTGTGTTCTCCTTCCTTGGATGTTTTTAAGCAGAGGTTGGATGTCCATCTGTCAGGGATGCTTTAGTTAATATTCCTGCACTGCAGTGAGTTGGACTAGATTGGGGTCCTTTCCAACTCTTGAGTATGTATGCATACTCAATGAGAGGTGTGAGATTGTTTTTGCCGGGTAATCTTATTTATATTAGGTCTGCAAATAAATAAATAAACTTATTTTGATCCTATACTACATTGAAATGTTTAAATGTTTCTGATTGTACTTGTGTTGCCCCACCACAGTTGCCATTCTCTCTTTCAATCAGGTGTGGCACACCACACCCTTTGAAAACCACTGCCCTAGCACAAAAGCTCCACTTAAAAACACACAGACAGACTTTTTGGGGTGACTGGGAAATGAGCTGAAAAGTGTGGGATGAAAGGAATGATCAATGGAAGAAATCCCACAAGCAAATAAGCATGAAGAGTGATTTTCGAATAACCACTCCATAAAGACCTGACATAGTCTGACTCTATGCAAGTTTTGTGCAAGTATATCAGGGTGAAATAGGTCGTCTGTTAATCTAACCTTAAAAGCACAGAGTGTGTGGATCTTTATAAATGTGCCTTCTAGCAACTGGAGTAAATCTGAACCCTAAAAATATCCAGCTTACGTTATATTTGTGTTTCTCTCTCTCTCTCCCCAGAATACATCAACATTCAACAGAGATGTTTTAGTGCAGAGGAAGACTACATCTGCCTCCTCTGGATGCTGCAAGGTATGGCCCTGGGTGGAAAGCAACGTGTTGTTTTGGCATACGTGAGATCATGCAGGTGACTCTACGGCAAAGGGGTCATTCCATTGCATGCTTGGTGGTGCAGCCGAAAGTTCAGGCCTGCACTATTTGTGGCCCATCGTGCCAGACTCAGTTCACCAGTCATGTTTTGTACTCCCTCCATTTTTCAATAGTTCCTTGCTGGAAATAAAAACTGGAGGTTTATCAAGCTTCTTGGCAAAGATGGCATTCAGTTTGTGGGCCACAAGTTGTACAGACGAGAACTGAATCAGCATGTAGATTTCTGAAATGTTTTCCTCTTTGTCATGGTTAGGACTTGACCAAGGTAAGGTAAAGGACCCCTGGATGGTTAAGTCCAGTCAAAGGTGTCTATGGGGTTGTGGCGCTCATCTCGCTTTCAGGCCAAGGGAGCCGGCGTTTGTCCACAGACAGCTTTCTGGGTCATGTGGCCAGCAGGACTAAGCCACTTCTGGCACAAGAAACCAGACAGAAACCAGAGTGCACGGAAACGCTGTTTACCTTCCCACTACAGTGGTACCTATTTATCTACTTGCACTGGCATGCTTTCGAACTGCTAGGTTAGCAGGAACTAGGACAGAGCAACAGAAGCTCATCCCATCGCGGGGATTCGAACCGCCAACCTTCCGATCGGCAAGCCCAAGAGGCTCAGTGGTTTAGACCACAGCACCACCCACTTGACCAAGAGCTTATGCTGTCTTACGGGGCTGGACTGTGTCACCCAATAAGAATACGCTGGGTACCTTGCCACAGCGGGTCCCCTGCAGTGAGGTGGAGCCACCATTTGGATGGCTTTAAAAGAGGACGGGACAAATTCTTGGCCTGATCCAGCAGACTCTTCTTCCATTCATAACACAAAGTTGAAATGATTAAAAAATGCATAAATAAAACCAATCTCAAATGAATCTAATCGGTTTTGAAGGCTTTAGCGAGGAATCAAAACATTTTACAGTGCAGAGCAAGTCGGAGAATGGAAAAAGAAATCCAAGCAGCTGAAACTGGCACAGCATCTTGCAACCGCCCTGTGCGTTATATTATCACTATTCCCATTGGGCAGACTGAGCATGGGAAAATCTGCACACACTGTGCTTGGTATTCTGAATATATATATATCCCCAAGTGCCAGGCCTTTCTTCCTCTTTGTGCAGCAAAGGCAAACAAAAGACGGCAACAAAATGTAATAAAGAGAATTGCTGCTTGTTCCGGCAAGAGTCAAGATTTGCAAAAAGGATTTTGGAGCACAGTAAGAGTGGGTTTGAGTCGCCAAATTGCAGCCTTGCCTTGCAGGTTAAGTGTGTGTTGCTGGAACATAGGCTCTCGGAGGCAATGTGTGTTTTGAGCAATGAACATCCCAGGACTTTGACTCGAGGGGGCGGGAAATTGTCGGTTATCTTCCTTGGGGCATTTTCTACTCCTGGACTTGGAAGCAGCTGTCATGCACTTAGCCAAGTCAAGCCTATTTAAACCGCTGCTCTCTGCTCTAGCACTCTTCATTATTTTTTAAAAAAATACTTCCTGGGAAAGGAAGGGCGGGCGGCTTTTCCATCCTGACATGAATGGAAGATCCTACGCGGTCTGCATCACTTTGAAATTAACTGGGGCTGCTTATCATCCAAGTACGTCCCCGAGAGGGACGCGGGTGGCGCTGTGGTCTAAACCACTGAGCCTCTCAGGCTTGCCCATCAGGAGGTTGGCGGTTCAAATCCCTGCGACGGGCTGAGCTCCCGTTGCTCTGTCCCAGCTCCTGCCAACCTAGCAGTTCAAAAGCACGCCAGTGCAAGTAGATAAATAGGTACCACTGTGGCAGGAAGGTAAATGGCATTTCCGTGCACTCTGGCTTCTGTTACGGTGTTCCATTGCGCCAGAAGCAGTTTAGTCATGCTGGCCACATGACCTGGAAAGCTGTCTGCAGACAAAGGCTGGTTCCCTTGGCCTGAAGCGAGATGAGCACCGCACCCCATAGTCGCCTTTGACTGGACTTAACCTTCCAGGGGTCCTTTACATGTCCCCGAGAGTCACTGAAATAGGACAGTCTTGTGATGAACGATAGCAATTTTCAATGAGCAGATGTACCCTGGCTGCTCTTAATGCTGTAGACTGATAAATGATTTAGACTCCGTAATGAGGGGAGCGTATTGAAGGGATCTGTAATGAACGGAAGGAAAATAGCCCAGTCGGGAGTGAGGGCATATTGGTAGATGCTCCTACCAAAGTGGGAAAGCACTTCAGTTCTTCCTGGGTTTCAGTTCCCTTGCAGAGAGAGAAAGGAACACAGGAAACTGCATTATACATAATCAGGCCATTGGTCACCTTGGCTTAGTGTTGTCTCTACCAGGGTTTCCCAAACTTGGGTCTTAACCAGGCTTCTTCATTTCTGTTATAAGGTGCATTGGAATCATCCCAAGTGACTTTTTGTCATGTCACTCATTAGAAAGTTTATTTCGGGAAAATCATTCTGCATTTGAACAAGGCTAGCTGGCTTGATGACAGATTCCTGCTCCTCTCCTTTCTTTCCTTTTCTTTCCTTTCCTTTCCTTTCCTTTCCTTTCCTTTCCTTTCCTTTCCTTTCCTTTCCTTGCCTTTTTAAAAAAGGAAGAGAAATTAAAATTTCAACCACTTGGCTAGATGATTTAATTTATGAACCGGAGCTAAAGTCCTGGGGCCATGAGGTAAAACCATTTGCTCTGGATGACGTCCAGTTGTCGATATGGCCATTGAGGTTTATTCTGCAAGACAGGTGCAAGTTCCTTAACAGCTTCATCATTCTCTGCCAAGGCTGCCAATGGAATTTTCTGAGCCAAATACATTCGGCTGGTTGTGTGTGTGTGTGTGTGTGTGTGTGAATGTGTACATATATACAGATATTTCAAACTATATCCATAATCAAGAATGTCAGTCATTCATCTAATCCATCAGCAATAGCCAACGAAGTGCCTTTCAGATGTTGGAATTTAATTCCCATTATCCCTGACCATTGGCCATGCAGGCTGGGATTGGTGGTAGCGGTACTCCTACAACATCTGGAGAGAACCACCTTGGCTATCTCCATCATATGACATATATCAAAAGGGACTGATTCTAATTACACAATCACTTCCACTCAATTTTCCAAAAAAATGGCCACACCTATAAATTACCCAACATCATTCCATATGAGTATATCTTTATTCTGATTTATTTCTAGATTAGCATGTATTTAAAGTGCCATAGAGTAGCACTTTATACAGAACACTAAAATGATAAAGTATAATAAAGTATAGGATAGAGGAACATAAATACAATCATTGACTGCAATAATAAATCACTCATAAATGGCATTTTATGTTAGCTGGAAAGGAAGATAGCTGTTAATGTCTAATCCATATTTATTCTTCGTAAAGTGACTGAATGTGCCCTGTAACCTTTGCCATTTCTACAGTGTTCCAGATTTTAAGCAACACATTTTCAGTATTGGTGTTTTACTGTCCTAACTACGTAGCAATCAAAATTTAGCAGCTGAGAAGATTCCATACTATTCTTTACAAAACCTTCAAAATATCATAATAACGTCCCAGCAGAAACTAGTGGCGTTGTGTAACTTAGATATAATATAGATTCCTGTGCACCCCCTAAATATGTCTCATGGTTCCCACTAACCCAAAGCAGATTTAGGGGAAAGCATGGGGGGAGGAGCGAGAGGAAAGTCAGGTTGCCAAATGCAAATCCACCCCCTAACAAAACGAGTGGATTTGATACCTCCCCATCTATTTCAGATACCAAAGGCAAAGACAGTGTTATTTCTGTTTAAAAACTGCACCCGCTTCTCAAATTAGGCCAGTTGGGTGCTCTTATTTATTTAACCCAGGCTGGCCTAATTAGACCCAGCCTACCATTATGAAGTATGGGGCATCCGCCTGAGGTAGCAGAGAATAAGACGTTGAACCCCCCCCCCCCAAGTTAGCCTAATGCTCTCAGGTATGGTGGTTTATAAAGCGTATCAGCGAAGGTAGTTTTCAAATTTCCAGATTTGTGCCTAACTTCCCCCCACGTCTGTTTGTGGAAACTCTTCTGTTTCACAAGCGATTCTGGGAAACTGTCCACATCATGCGCTAGGGTTCACACTGTGCGCTAGATGCTATCCTAATATTGGCCTTGGCTCCGCGTTTCAAACCTCAAAGGCAAACATCCCTGCAGAAGCTGGCCGGGTGCTCAGGTTGTCTCCTCGTGCTCTGAAGCGGTGCCAAAAGATAAGCTCGGAGGTGCTGCGTTTGCTCATTTTGCGTGGCTGGGAATAAAAAGGCCACTTAATGCAATGCCTTCCGCAATATAAACATCTCAGGCTCTGTAAAGGAAATGTGTCTCCTTTCTGTCAGCACCACTTCGATGCAACCGGCAGAGTCACGAAGAAAGCCTGGCATCTTTGACCCCCTGCCCCCTGCTTTCCCAAGGTGAAATAAAATAGGGTGCTTTGATGGCTTACTGCCTAAAGAGCATCTGCTTGGAGACACCCTTAAATTGCACCCTTGATAACTCAGTCCTAGGTCTTGGTACTCCATGCATAGGCTTATTGAGAGGCTTTTTAGGATATGGTGGATTCCCTCCATCTGCATTTTGCTCTAGTCGAGTACTGTTAGTTTCCTGTGAAATGCACTTTGTGGATTTTCCAACAAACCACACAACATTTAGGGAAATTGCCAAGGCTGGGAACCGAGTCTCTGAAGGAGATGAGATAAAAGCAAATGGCATGGGCTGCCAAGGAAGGGGAAAAAAGAAAACACTATACCAGTTGTGACAACAGCAAAATTTGAGTGGGGCTTACTTCACGGTAACTGGCTGCCTGGAACATGAGGCTCAGTAGAGTGGGTGGCTTTCGCAAACCAAGCTTCGCTGTGAAATTAATGCAAAATCACTCCATTCCAGGGTGCATTGCTCTTTTCTAGGACTTATTGAAACCGAGGCCCCGTTTGCACTATGCATTTAACAGT